CCAATATTCATTCAGAATTTTAAAAAGTTTTGGTTCAGCATTTGTTTTTACTGCTGTCACTCTCGCGGATCTGCATGAACAGAGGTGCACAGATGTACATTTGCTGACAGACAGTTTGGGCTACGTATCAGAATTATGGGAATTGTTGGCCATACAAATTTTAATTGGATGAACATTTTTTTTAGTCTTATGTCTTACCCAGAATATAAAAATACATATAAATACATTAAAATCATTTACTTTATTCATTACTGTTGGGAAGTAAAGTTTCTTTCAACCAGCATAACAAAAAATGTTTTTAAGACAATAAAACACCTACTGCACATTTAATAACAAGCACAGGTGTAATGATTTAGGTGGACAGCTTTTTTGTGAGTAATTCTAATGTGTGTATAAATGTATGCAGTTATTAGTACTCAGCTTAAACAATGTTAGCGATTGAAATCCATTGTTCTCGCCTGAGGTTTTCTCTATCACCATGACATTACACCTAAAGAGACACTCGCTGATGCATGTCTGTCTGTGAAATCACCTTAAGCTCCTTTCCTTTCTCTACCAAAACAGTAAATGCTTTAATTCCCCCTCACCATAGATGAAATACAGTGTGATATCATCGAGCTGAGAAAAACTGACCCTCTGGCGTCACAGTTATTTAATTGCCTCCTCCATGAGAATTCCCAAAGGTGCAGATTTGTTCGAGCCGATAAGTCCCAATTCTGCAAATCAATACTTCTCTCTCTAAGGTCAGAGAATTGGATTTCCACCCGACATTGAGAAGTAGAGCTTCTAATAAAGGCTTGTACCAGAATATCCTCCTACCAAAACCCTGACTCCAACTCCGTGCTTGGAGTTTGGGAGATGGTAGATATTTGAACTCTGTCTGGGGCCACAAGTTACAAAACCACAATTCATCCTGATTATGGCTCTTGAGAATGTGCACTGTTGAGCACTGTAATTGATTCACCCGTCTGTAGTGATGATCCATGTATATGATACGGAGGGAAAAAAAATGTCCACCGTGCGACGTCTTCGTCTTCTCCCACAGGGGCAGACGAGCGATAAATAAGATTTATCATCTCACCACAGACCAAACTCATCTTAAGCGTGAAAAGTTTATCTTCAAGGTCGTCAAACCAGTCGACCGTCAAAAGCAGACTGAGGAAGTCACACTAGGATGCCCGGTACTTCAAGAGTAATGATTCCCTTATAAACATGAATCACCTGGTAAAAGGACAGATCTCCCAGAGGAAAACCAAAATGGCCAGAGATTCAGAGGCTTAACTGCTTGTGTGCTGAACTCAGTCAGTCAGCTGATATTTGTTTCTGTAGGAAAAGGTTAATGGGAGGCTGACCTTACTATTGTAATGTGTGGCAACTGTATTGAGTAGCTTTGTCTGGATGATTATTATCAGTAAATATTGTGACGCTAGCTTGAAATGGAATCAATTTTCTACATGAATGTTATTGATCTCATTGGGTATGATTCATCCCACTCAAGACAAAACAATGAACTTCGACTGAATCAATAGAATTCTCCTTGGTGACACATAATGTGCTTTTACCAATCAGTTTGTTCAATAAAACCAGTGGTAAGTAAATAGTTGCCTTAAACGGTAAACTAAAACTTAAAAATAATTGTTAAAAACTTTTATTATTCACATTATGACTTAATATTTAAGTTGAATAAATTCACAAATGTAAAGTTTTGTATGGTTTTATTTAAATACAAAAGAATAAAACAAATAATCATGATATATATATATATATATATATATATATATATATATATATATATATATATATATATATATATATATGAGCAATATCACACGAGTAGTAGTGTGCTATAGCTGTATATCAGCAGTAGTGGAAGGCGTGCGTTGCCTTAGCACCTCACTAGTGCTGATATACAGCCAAAGCACACTGCTAAGAGTGTGATATTGCGTTTATACAACAGTTCGACGGCACAATCTTGTACATAAAAAAAGAAAATCAAACACAGAGAGTCTAAAACCCTTTTGTAGTAGGAACTACTTTCTTCCGCCATTCATTCACATCTGCAGCTGATGTCAGAACAGCAAAAGCCGTTAGTAATTCACCAATGTCACTTTAGAGCTAGTATTTGAATGATTCTCTATAGCGTAATGTGAAGCGGCACTTCTGGTGTGTGCTCTGGTGCTCACATTTTAAGATTATAAGGCTGAACGTGACATGAAATGCCTGAAATGCTCCGTCTACAGAGATTTCTCACCAGACTTCTGTTGTGTTTGCGATAAGGAGGGGCAAGTCTGAATCCGGCCTCTTATTCGCAGCTTCTTATTAACTCTATCCGGTCCACCTTAAAAACCACAAGGCTTCAGTTTTTCAGCTTTTTAATTCGGGCTCAAGGGAACACACTGAGCAAGGGTTTATTATGCGGTTCTGGCGCCATTTTGTGGATAGACAACTTCAACCATCTTTGGCTGCCGCCGAGCTCTCAGAAATTGTAAATATTTTAAAATAGGCACTATTCTTACAAATAAACTGCATAGTTTCAATCTAAACAACAACAACCTCAACTAAAAAGCAGCAGTAATATTTGTCAAACTGTAGTGTCTGCTTGTTGCTGGCTGTATGTAAGCGGATTAATACACAAAGGGTAAAGAGGCTGTAGCCAATCAGATTCGAGATCCAGACAGAACTTTTTTTTTTTAACAACATGATTGTAGAATTTGCCATGTGTGTATAATATGTTCAATACAATTCAGCTTTATTTCTATAGCACTTTTACAATGTAGATTTTGTCAAAGCAGTTAACATAGAAGCTCTAGTAAACTGAAACTGTGGCAGTCCATATTTTCAGAGTTGAAGTTCTGTTTAGTTCAGTTCAGTGTGTTTTAAATTTCACTGCCGAAAGTCTAAACACTGAAGAGCAAATCCATTACAGCACAGCTCCACAATTCTCAAACCAAGCAAGCCTGTGGCGAAAATGGGGAAGAACTAAACTTCCCCAATTAACCAAAGTGAAGGAAAAAACTTCAAGAGAGACCAGGCTCAGTTGGGCATGACCTTTTCTCTTCTGGCCAAACTTCTTGTGGATATGTCTTCTCTGTTGTTTGTAATGTAAAGTCAATTTACACTTTGCTGATGAAGTGTAAGCAAACACTTGAGTAACAACAACACTACCACATATTCACCATTGTTGTGTGGTTGACCGTGTTAATCTACACCTCCCATGTCCCATGCACATTTAAAACATCATAATTTTCAAAGTCCCAAAAACACAGTTGCCATGTGCCAAAGAACAGAAGAAATCCATTAAAACAGACTTGTTTTTAGTAGAAAAAGTAGTCACATATAACAATTTGGTAACACTTTATAATAACTACACACTATGAATCATTTATTAAGCATTATCAAATAATAAATTCATTATCTGTAAAGCATTAACTCTACATTATTAGTCGTTAGTAAGCTGTTTATAACTGCAGCTACAAATGCTCTATTCTTGACTAACAACCACATTTATAATGTGCTTAGTAATTGTACTTTCATACTTTGTTAACGATTAATTGTTAATGACTAAATTAAGTATTGCATCATTTACGAACCAGCTATTTAAGCATATTTGTTTCTTTAAAGATCATTCAGAATTTGCTAGTAAATGACTAATAAACTATTGAAATCAACGGTTATATATCTTATTATTCAGGCATATAGTAATGCTTACTTTTTATGTAAATAAACGCTTTATTGACTTAACTTCATCCAGTTTTTTGACCTAATCTAAAGTGAGGAGTATTTGTGCTTTAAAAATCCCTTATAAAGGCTAAAACGTGTCACTTTTGTAGTTTTAAATGAGGAACAGAGTAATGGTCAATATGGCAAATTAACGGCATTACTACGGAATGACAGATCTTCAGGAAGGGGTTTGGACCAGACGTGAGTTTCTACAGATTTTGTGTGATTAAAATGTTTAGAAATGAAACTAAAGACACAGTTGTTGTTTAATTTTATTGGTAATTCATAATATGAAATTTAATCAAAAGCTTGGCAAGCAATTTTGGAGAATTTGTGTTTCCCCTTCCAAACAGAATCCCCGAGAGACGTTTCAAAGATGGCTGCTGAGTGAAATGACTTTCCTTAAAGGGACTTTGTTTATAGAGGCTTTGAGAACATCTGAGTGAAGAAACATGATAGTTAATGCAGGTCCAGCCATGGTCGATCATAAGCACGTGATCCTCTCAAAACTAGTTTATACATAAACTTCATTTATTCATTTTCTTTTTGGCTTAGTCCCTTTATTAATCAGGGGTGGCCAGAGCGGAATGAACCTCCGACTTATCCAGCATATGTTTTATACATTGGATGCCCTTCCAGCTGCAACCAAACACTGGGAAACACCCATACACTTTTTCATACACATACACTACAGACAATTTAGCATTCAATTCACCTACAGCACATGCCTTTGAACTGTGAGGGAAACCAGAACACTTGGAGGAAACCCACGCGAACACAGGGAGAACATGCAAACTCCACACAGAAATGCCAACTGGCCCAGCAAGGGCTCAAATCAGTGACCTTATTGTTGTGAAAGGATTGTGCTGCCCACTGCGCCACTGTGGCGCCCTAAATAAACTTCACATAATTTATATATAGTTGTATGATTTATAAATATATCTATGTTATATATAGTGAAAACAATTTTGACAAAAAATAGCCATTACCATTGGCACACAATGTCCCACCTTTTCCACAGAAACAAATTAAGCAACTGAAAAAGTGTTAAACTAGCTGTGCCAAAGCATATATTTAAATCTTCATTCAAGAATAGGAAAATCTCTTCTGCTCCTTCTTCAGCATCTCTCTGTAATGGGTGATTTTTGTCAGCTAATTTCATGTAATCCTTTCTGAACAGGGCAGATCCAGCTCTTTCATCTTGAGAAAAATTCAATTTCTCATTAAATATACCAATTTCATTCGACTAATCTCACTGTTCTTCTCTATTTTTCTATCAGCCGCCAAAGCCAATGGTGATTTCCTCAACAAGCAGCATCGCCACCTGGTCGAACTTGCGGCTAAAGGTAACCTGCCGCTTCATCCAATCCGAATGGAGCACGTGGAGCCCACTGCGACTTACGTCACAGAGGTCCCATGCATCAAACAAAACGGACAGAAGCCCAAAAGCATAAAAGCCAACGTTTCCCATCCCGCGATGGCCTACAGCTCCAATACCATCGCAAATCCAGGCATGGTGAGGAGCTGGGAGGCCGCAGAGACTGCAGGCCGACGCAAAACCTACAACCCCAGGAAGATGTGCATGGTGGAGCAGGTCAACGAGCTACACACTGCCCGCAGTCATCACTACTTACCCACGCAACCCTACTTTGTAACCAACAGTAAGACTGAAGTGACTGTTTAAGAAGCAGCTGAGAGCGGGAAGTGAAATCCTGTCACGAAAGGACTCTCCACACTGCCCCTAGTGGACTGGAGGAACATCAGGGGTGAGCATGTCATGCCCTCTCGATAACATGAGGGACACTCAAAGCGTTCGCCACTATTTATATCCACTGTAACAATGATGTGTTTGTGTTCCGTCAATGAAAAGGTTACAGAAAACTGATGTAAAGAATTGGCACTGGAAAAAGATTCAGATCAATAGCAATAAGATCTAAGAGAACGGCTACGGTTAGAATGAGACATTACAGAAATGAAACATACCGCATTATTGATTCCTAGTTATTAAAGGGCTGGCGTGGAGTATAAAACACAGGGTGATGCTCTTATGTGAAATAAAATACAGAAAACTTTGGCACCGATTTGAGGGAGAGTGGAATCGAGGCCGTGCCTTTTGTTTTGTCATTATAACTAAATAACCGAACGCTCGAAATATGGAGTCACATGTGCTGAATATTTCATGCGAAAGTAGCATTGTCATGCCATGAGCAACACTGTTAAACAACATGGACATTTGGGCACAACTTTTAAAAATACGTGTTTGGTCTCCTTCTTTTGGCGTTCTTTTTTTACGTGTACTCTCAAACGCATACGAGCATGTTGAAATATTTGTTAAAATGTCATCAGTAGGTGTATCTGCTGCCACATGTAAGGTTTTTTGCACTTTTTACAAATGTGTCGTATGGAAGGTACGTTTTATTAATTTAATTATTTCTTTTGTCCCAAACAGATGCGACCATAAGCGTATATTTATACCATTGCCAGTATATGTATGCAGATTATACAGTACATTGTGCCAAGAAGTAGCTGGTTAAAGTTATTGTGTTCAGCAATTATTTATTAAAATATATTTATTTATTTTGTTTCGTTCAGTAGTAGGTTCGAGAGAAAATGTTTCTGTTGCTACATCATTATCTAATGAAGTGATTAGTTCTGGAGATGAAGATGTACTTTAAACTGGAATTAAATAAGCTTTTTCTTTCCTCATTCTCTTCATCTGTATTATTTTTTGTGTTTCTTCTCCTTTGTTGTGTTTGATTCTAACAGGATGTTCCAAGTTTTCACAAACAGGTCGATGAACTTGGTTGTATCCAATTGAGTCAATTCAGCAATGCGGAAACCTGGAAATATCAGCACGAAGAACACGACCTGCTGCTGCACTTTACTCTGATTGCAGATAAACCAGATCATGTGGAATAACTTTAGTCTTGGATGGATCCTGTCAACCTCACACCTGCTAAAAAAAAATCTGTGTGCTCCATGCTTTCCAATTACTCCATGACATGTTGTGTGCATGAGCAGTAAGCAGAGCTGTAGATGCTTGATAATGCATATGGTATTTAAAAGTTGCAGATTTATTCATGACACTACTGTAACTGTCATAGGGAGTTATTTGAGGAGACAATACGGCCACTAATATCCCCCCAGTAATAACAAATGGACAACTCCCCCTCACAATTTGATGATATTCACATGTTTTTGCTCATTTGCACTTTTATTTATATATTTTTATTATAATTCTTTATGTTCAAAATAGTCATGAAAACTTGATTACAATTTTAGTTGAATCTATTTCAATTTATATGTCTTTCATCACAAGAAACAGTAAAACTTTGTCAAAAATCTGTCATAAACATGACTGTCATGAAGCCATTACAATTGTGTCATTCATATTTTGCTGATCCCTTATTTATTGGAAAGGGTTAACTTTTTCCATTAAAATTTCCATTTACAAGTGTCAATACTGTAAAATAATAATTCTATAACACCATTATTAATATTTATTGACATTTCAATTTGTACCTTTTGTCACTTGTAGTTGAGGTCAAGAAAAATATTAATGTTGCTGTTATAAAATTCATAACATGACTATAATGTCTTCATGACAATAATTTTTATGGCAGATTTATGACAAGTTGGCATGTATTTGTTTATGTCAAATTCATTCATAAATTTTCCTTAGGTTTAGTCTTTATTTCAGAGGTCGCCTCAGCGGAATGAACCACCAATTATTCTAGCAAATGTTTTATGCAGCAGATGCCCTTCCAGCTGCAACCCAGTACTGGGAAATATCCATACACACTCATTTACACACACACACACACACACACACACACACACACACACACACACTCATGCCAATTAAGTTTTTTCAATTCACCTATAGTGAATGTTTTTGGGCGTGGGGGAAACCAAAGCTCCCGGAGGAAACCTATGCGAACAAGGGGAGAACATGCAAACTCTACAAAGAAATGCCAACTGACCCAGCCGGGACGCAAACCAGAGACCCCCACTTCAGTAATATGCACTGCATTGTGGATCATTTTAAAACGTTTACAGTAACTGACTGTAATTAGGAATTTGCAGTATTCTACTGTACTCAAATTAATCAAGTACTGCTACGGTAGTTGAAAACAAAAATAAAAAAGAGAAAAATGGAATTAACTAAATTTAATAGTAAATACTCAAGGTATAGTAGATACATAAGGTTTTGTGCTGCTAGTGTAAAATAAACAAATTACAGTAAATAAATTACAGTAAAACTACAGTAAAAACTGTCATATTGTAAAATTGAAATGTGGTATAGGGCATTTTAGCATAAAAAGAAGTAGTGGTAAGGGTATTTTACTGTAAAATGAACTTGCGGTAGGGCCTTGCTACTGTAAACACATTTACAGATAAGTTACTATAAAGGGACAGTTACTGTAACTTGCTGGCAACAATGCAGCAAGTAAGATACCACAAAAATACAATAAAATGTCTTAAGGCTCAAACACACCGGGGCGCTTTTCGTTTGCGTTTATTGTTAGTGTTTATCGTCAGCATTTTTCAAGACGTTTTTCCTGATTCACACCCAATCAATTTTCACTAGTGTCGAGCTGAAGAGTATGCAAAATCACTCGAGGTTAGATGGTGCTACACAACTTTAAGCTTCTCAAACCCGCTTGTAACACAGAAGAAGAGGAAGAAGACAAAGTTGACACGCTTGATGTTATGGATGGTTTAGCAGCTCCTTATCTTGTGATGAAAAAATGATTATTGTTCACCAATAAGCAGCCTGCCGAAAACACTAACCAATTGACACACACATGCAAATTCTCTCAATACATGCAAAAATAGAAATGTGCTTAATAGAGTGCTGAAGTATTGGTGTTGACAGCTTCCTGTTTATACCAAAAACTGAACAATAAAAAAAAATAATAAAAATTAAAGTCTCTTAGATCTCTGAAAACATTGATGACTTTAAACAGGAAGGAGCCAGGAACATTAATTTATGGCAGGGGTTCTCAAAGTCTGAATTTAAACATCCACATTTGAATTTTCATAAATGTCATGCACATAAATCAGGAAAATTATAGAATTTTGGTATTAAAAACTAACAATGTTATAAGTTTTCTTTTTTCATTTTCAAAGTAGTCAATCCACTTGTTTAACCCCTCACACACAATTAGTGGTCTTGAAATATGAAGTTGTGTCTGGAATGAATTATCTTGCTCTGAGGTAAAAGTGCTAACCACTGAGCCACCTTGCTGCCCTTATGTCAGATTGTCATAACAAATATATTTCAAACAAAGTCATCTTTGCATTTAAAATAACATAACTGAGCTAAGGACACTTAATGACAGCTGCCGTATGCATGCATAAAATCTTGTGTAAATCATGATTATAAAGGTTTCATGACAGTCTTACGAACAACCCCTTCAAGCAAAGTGTTTCCAAACAAGCTCATGTAAAACATCACATTGAAACTTGTATAATATTTACAGTGTTGATGAAGTAGTTTTATCTTTGATTCTTCTAACATGCTATGGATGTACATTTTCCTTCCTATGTGAATACAAAAGTACAGAGTATAACAGTCGCCTAAAAGCATTTCAATACTCCATAACACACCAATTTCTGAGGTCCATCAAAGGGTGCGGCGGTGTTTTGTTAGAAATAGCCAGGGAACAGGCAACAAGTCTTTCATCTGCTGCAATTCGGAAGAAGTCCCAGATGAGGAGCAGGGACGGGAAAGGCTCTGATTGATTTGATTCAGGCACTTTGAGCAAGAATAAGTCAGCTAATCCAATCCTCAGCTGCACACATTCACCTCTGAACAGGTGCCTGGAAACAGCCAGCGATTGAATGAGCCCGTTTCTGTGGGGGCCTTGTTGAGCTGCCAGAAATCAAAGTTCTGCTCGGCAAATTAAGATCGAGGGTACGAGTGACCTAGTTAACGAATCACCATCGGCCTGTTCGGCATACAGAGGCGATGTATTTGGAGAGCGGGTGGTCGACTGCATTTATTTGTTGAGGGCCCATGCAGGCTGAGCGTGAATTCTTTTTCAATGGCTTCTAGGTCTGCATGAACTGGAGAGAAATAACAAAAAAAAGTTCTCCTCAGAAAACAAATTCTATATTGCTCTATATACTGTAGGTGTTGTACAGTGCAGTACTATAATTTTTGCCTGACGGCCCCATTAAATAAGACATATCTACCAAAAAAAAGCAGAAAATGCAACGCAATCTTAAGCAATTCATAACTTTTTGATTTAGTTGCTAATTACTATTCATTTGTTTGACCTCATACAATTTACTACAGTTTGCTCACCACTGAATGAAGGGTCGGTCTAGGGGTGGAGTTTGGGGGCATGCTTCCTTTTAAAGGTTGTACAGTACAAGGTTGGTATATAAAATCTGTAAATGTTCTTTTCTATTGACTATGTAACATTATTTGTTTGCTTTACAGTGATTTTAAATCAGAAAGAGAATACACACTCTCTAAACGGCTGTCTTGTTTTCAACCAAATTTGAGTAAAATGTGGACAAAACTAACAGATGGGTTAAATTTTTACATTTAATTTTTAATCACAGTGGTTGTGGTTTTCACTGGGCACAGTTAGACTTTGCTGCAGTTTTACAGTTATTTACAGCAAAAACACCCAGTTAAACACCACATACATTCTTTACAGTTCACTACAGTAATATGTACTGCATGTCATTTTAAAACTTTTACAGTAACTTACTGGAATTAGGAATTTGCGGTATTTTACTGTTATCAAAGTAATTAGGTACTGCTACCGTAGTTGAAGACAAAACTAAGAAAGTTAAGAATTAAGTTCAAAAGTAAATACTAAAAATAAAGGTTTTGTGCTGCTAGTGTAAAATGTAAATAAATTACAGTAAAACTACAGTAAAACCTGTCATACTGTAAAACTGAAATGTGGTAAATGGTGTTTTTACCATAAAAAGAAGTAGTGGTGAGGTTATCTTACTGTAAAATTAAATTGTGGTAGGGACCTGCTGCTGTAAGCACATTTACAGGTCAATTACTGTTAAGGGGCAGTTGCGGTAAATTGCTGGCAAC